AGAAGAGCTGCACTGGGGTTGTAATGGGTGACTGATTATATACTTTCAAGTTGGGAGGGGGTTAGGGATAGCATAAGTCTCCAAGGAATTTTGGAAGCAAGGTTTCTAGGACCTTGAAAGAGCCAGCTATTGTTAGGATAAGGTCATTTGTTACTGTCTAATAAAACCTTAATCATAATTATGTGGAATAAAGTCAAAAAGGAAATGTAGATAATATCAAATTTCCTTAGAACCTGCAGCCCATTGACAAATACTTGAGGCTGGCAGAGTAAAACATTCCTCCAGGAATTCCCAACTGTTTTAATATTGATACTTTCCTTGAGGGAAAAATAACCTTAGCTTGACAATAAGTAGGCCTCCAGTATCCCATGTGTCTTCTTTAGCATATTAAAATGCTTTTGTAGGGGCACCTGGGTGGCTCTGTCAGTTAAGCTTCCGTCTTTGGCTCATGATCTCACAGTTTGTGAGTTCGAGCCCAGTGTTGGGCTCTGTGCTGACAGCTCAGAGCCTGGAGCCTGCTTCGGCTCTGCCCCTACCTCACTTGTGCTCTGTCTCTCTCTGTCTCTCAAAAATAAATAAATGTAAAAAAAAATTTTTTTTTAATGCTTTTGGAAACTTCCCTCTGTCTTTACCTCCCCCAGCTCCCAAGTAAACAATCAACTATTCCTCACAATCCCAGGGCAGCTCTTTCTGCCCATGTGTCCTATCCCTGTGCTTTAAGAAAACCACCTTTTTTGCACCAAAGACATCCTAGGAATTTTTTTCTTGGGTTGGCTCCAGAGCCCCAACATTTGCACATCAATAAGATCCTTCAGATGTATATCAGTGAGCTTTATGCTTAGAGGATGATTGCAAACATATATTTGGGGGTAGAGATAAAGGGAGTTTCCAAAGGAATTTTTTTTTTTTTTTTTATGTTAAAGGAAACCTACAGGATCCTGGAGGTCAGGATAATGTTAAGCTAAGATCACTTTTTGCCCTCAGCAAAGAGTCAACATTGAGGCAGTTGAGTTCCCAGAGGAATGTCACTCTGCCTGTCTCACAGACTTGTCAATGGGCTAAGTTGCAAGGAAATTTAATTTTTTCTTCTGCCTTTGTTTCCCACATCAGATATGACACAAGCAAAGACTTAATACGTACTTGTGGTAGAGTCTGTTGTCTTGAAACATTTCCATTCCTATAAGAAGAACGTGCCTTGAGGAGCCTACTGGGTTCAGAACAGTAAGAAAAACCCAGAGCAGACCTGAACTAAATCTATCATTTGCAGCCAAGCCTAGAAAAGTCTAAATAAAGAAAGCAAAAGCTGTCTTAGCTCACATCTGCAGATGTGAGCATGTATGATTCTTTTTATAAACCACTGAGTATTGGGGTGATTTGTCACACAGCAGTATTATTACAGTAGCTGACCAATACAGAGAGAGAAGCATAGAAAAGGACAGCCAGTTTGGAGATAATTAAAATCAACTTGCTGAGGTACAATGGTGGTCTGATTAGGATGATGGCAGAGGAAGCAGAAATAAGAAGGCATTTTTGAGAGACATAAAGGGTTAGGATTTAAAGGGCTCAGTGATACTAGATTCAGGGAGAGAGAGAAGGAAAGCATGCCCAGGTTTCTTGCTGATATAACCGGCTAAGACGGGAGTCTACTCTGTGAGACACAGACCACAGAAAAAGAGCAGGATCAAAGGTTCTGTGTTGAACATGATGAATCTACCAATGCACGGCCAAGTGGACATGTCCTTGACCTCTGTCTCTTCATCTACAAAATGAGGATAGCATCATGTGCCTCCACCTACCTCTCAGGGTACTGTGGAGAACAAATAAGATAAAACACACAAAAGCACTTTGAAAAGAACACATTACCGATCAACTATGATAATTATTAAAATTAAAGCACTCACACTTTTCATTTTCATGCTGCCAGATGCAAAAAAACACGCTCTAATTTTATTTTTGAAACCGTGCTACTGAGTTTGTAGCTAGTCACACATTCTTTTTTATTTTCTGAGAGAAGGCAGAGCTGATGCTTCTGAGAAATAATACAAACAGTATTTGTATTTTCAAAGATACATAAGGAACAGAATTTGGAGAAAAAGGATTCTAAGGCTACTGTTAAGAAGAGCCAGGCTCTTGACTTGTAAAGCCTCAAACTAATCACTAAAGCTCTCTGGGCCCCTCGTTCTTCATTTCGGAAGTGGAGATTTGTACTTGCTGATTTCTAAGATATCTCACTGTTCGCAGATACATGAAACGATGAGCTCTCATAGCATTTTCAGCTTTACTTACCTCCTACTAACTAATGATACTCTTCAAACTTGATCTGTAATGTAGAAAAGAGTTTCACACTTGCCTGTCCTCACCCACGTTAGCTCAGTCTTTATCAGCAACTTTTCTTTTGGAGCAAATTCAGGCAGTCCAGATTGCCTGTTACATCCCAGGCAGGAAAGCTTATTTTCATCTATGTGTGAGAGAGAAGGATCTAGAAGGAGTTCTGATTGGTTTACTTCTTTCACTGCAGCAGAATTCCATTTACCACTTAGTCAAGGTGGTAATGAGGGTCTCTTTACCAGGCAACTGTGGCTGCCATCTGGCAGGCCAGCATCATAGACTCGGCAGACAGAACCAATTAGTCAGAACCCACACCTCCCAGGAGGCCTTGCTGTATTTGGTGGCTGGGTGTTAGCCCTGCTGAGTCTCCCACAAGAAACCTCATTGAGTTCTGGGAGGGGAGGAGCAAATCATCCCCCTCTAGCACTACAGAGCTAGCAAAGAATCCACATCTTGGAGGTCCAAGAACAGCTTATTCAGTGAACATTCTGGCCATGATAATGGCTACTGCGGAATCTGTTCCATGAATGGGCTGCTTGATGTGGTAGAGGGAGTGTCAAGAAACCCATTTCCATTTATAAGAGAAAAACTAGAAATGACTTAAATGCCCATCAGTAAGGGATTAGTTAAATGAGCCATGTTATATCCATACAAAGGAATGAATACAGTTGGTGGTGATTAGGAGCCTAGGACTTGGGCTTCAATTGCGGCTCTGTCCCTTCTCAGCCTCAGGACCTGGGCAAGGCACTTGACTTCCTTGTTTTTCAGTTCCTTCCTGTACGGGCTGAAGAGAGTAAGAGTTCCTACCTCATTGGGTGCTTGGGAGTACTAAGTTAGTTAATACATGTACAGAACTTAGAATGGTGCCCGGCACATAATAAATGATATTTAAGTGCTTGTTCTGAGTATGATTCTCATAGAACCATTCAAGATGATGCTTAGGAAGAATTTTTTGAAGCCAGGGTGAAAATTCTTAATATGAAATGAATTGAGCAGGATCACAAGGAGTAAATACATAATGATTCTCATTCTGTATCTATGCACAGAGAAAAAAAGAAAGAAATATGTTATTATTTTTCTTTGGTTGAGTTTTCTTATATTCTCCATCTGCCAAAATTGTACATGAGTATGCAGTACTTTATAATTAGAAAGATGATTTGAAAAAAAGAGAGAGAAGAAACCCTGGATAAACATCTTCTCTCTACACTTACGAGCCTCTTCAACTTTTCTGAGCCTCAGTTTTGTTTTCCTTCCCTTTTTGAAGTAGGCTTCATGCCCAGCGTGGAGCCCAACACAAGGCTTGAACTCATGACCCTGAGATCATGGCGGGAACTTAGATCAAGAGTCAGATGCTTAACTGACTGAACCACTCAGGTGCCCCTCTGAGCCTTAGTTTTATCATCTATACCATAGTGATAGAGAAAACACTGGTACCTACCTCAAGGGGTTAATTCCAAATAGCAAATGATATAATTTATCTGAAAGCAACCAGTCAATAATAAAGTGTTTTATGACATGATATTATTACCAAGGTTATCCTTGGGGAGTAACAATAAATACATTAATGCCAGAGTCAAAATTATGTAAAAACTCAGAGGTCGTTAGAAGTTCACAATAGGTCACTTCACCTCTGCAGATGCACTATATCCTGCTGCAACCAGGCCCTGAATTCAAGGACTACTTATAAGACAGCCGAAAGAACACATTAACTGGGGATTAAGAGGCACCATTTCCAGCGTAGGTTGTGCCACTGACATTCTGGGCAAGTCACTGTTCTTTTGGGACCTGTGTTCAACTAGACCTTGCAGAGTATGGTCTGAGGTCCACTGGTGGGCCATTAACCACTCTAAATTATAAGCTTCGCAGAGTTCTTACGAGGAAAAGATCACAAATCTATAGGCTTTTATTTTCTCAGATGACTAAAGACTAGCTAGGATCTAAGTGATTTAGTAAGGGCTATTAAAATTATAAACTAAAAATAGTTATGTTAGAGTTTACTGCAGACTCGAATTCAGTATTCTACTGAAATATTTGGCTGTCACTTAATGCTTGGCGTCACTGCAAAACTCCTACTCTATGTATCCGTCTAAATGCAATTTCAGCAATTTTTGGAAGTGGTACTTTGTTATCAATGAGTCATTAGTTTTGTCTTGATTTGGATCCAGTTTCCAATTGCTGCTATTCTTGCTTTTTAATTACAAATTACTAATCATATGGATTCATCATTATCAAGTTAGTGTGTTGTGAATTGTTTGGTTGATTCTTAACAGAGTGCAGAGATATATATTTCTATCAAGATGGTTTTGGCTGATAATTTTTCGATATACAGTTCTGGTCGCATTGGATTTTGAAAATAAATGACCTCTTCTTGTAATGTTAGACAGACCTTTCCCCCTGAGCACATCCCAGGGTTGCATGTACATTTACATGTATCACTATATGATTATCACTGATTTAGCTGCAGGTAGAGTAGGTTGGCCAATTCACTTGGTGGTCAACCAGAATGCAATATACAAAATGATCTCAAATTTATTTTCTGATTTAAAAAATGAATTCCAAGTCCCTCCTATGCAAAATATATTAATTACCATTAGTACAAGGGTGTGTGGTATGAACCTAATTTGAATTTTCCTAGTCAATTACCAAAAGAAGCTTGGGTTTTTGTCACTCACTTTGCCATCCAGAAATCTGCTTGTGAGTGCTCCTGTGAGGAATTTCTGGTTGTTCTCTGGGCTCTGGTTGTTCTCTTGGTGCTTGTTTTCTTCCTCATCATCTGGGTCATGGTTGATTTGATGATCAGTAGGATTAGTAGGAGCTGGGGAGTCTCTGCTCATCTGTCTTGCACTACCAATCATGGATTTCTGGAGTACTGTTTGAGTTTCTGCCTTCAAGTTCTCATTTTCCTTGCTGTGAAGAAACAGTTTTGCACTTTGTTACTCACAGGGCAGACTCTGAATACACTAGGCTGGCATAAGAAATAGAGGGTGTTACTCTGGTGGTGTGAACAGTGGTAACTCAGCACGGTGGAATGAAGGAGGAGACGTTGGTTACTGTGTATGGATCATTTAGCTAGAGAGACTATGCTATCCTGTGGCTTCTTTTCTTCTCAAGAGTCCTCCATTTAAATTTAATATTAAATAGGGAAAAGAAAAGGAAAAACCAACTGTAGGAATGATTCAAAGAAATGCAAATAATAAACAAACTAAAAAAAAAAAGAGTCTACCTTGTTTACCAACTGAAGACTCACAAATCAAAGCAATTATAAGACATCATTTCGAATTTAGAAAACTTCGAAAATAAGAAAGTCAAATGCCAACGTCCATATAAATAGATATAATTAATATATCGGGTGACCTGACAAAATGTATGAAGGCTCAGTCAGGAAGTCGCAATGCTTTAACCTACTAAATCAATATTTAAAATTGTGTATTATGGAAAAGAATGCAAAAGCAGAAAAATTTTAAATTCTAAGTATTTAGTAATAGGTGAATATGTTGAATATTTCATTCTATGTTCATATGATAGAATTTATAAAGCCATGAAAATAGTTAGGAATAGTCTTAATGACACAAGAAAATGTCCAGTTATACAAATAAGTGAAAACTATAATTATCTCAACTATGTAAAATGCATGTACATAATATATGTGTTTATGTGTGAGAGTACATAGTACATCTAAAAAGAAACATGCCAGAAATAAACAGTAAGTGTCTGTGGGTAGCAGAATTCAGAATATTCCTAACAATTTATTTTATGATATTACAATATTATTTTATAATCAGGAAAAGTCAATTTCTATATAGCTATAGAAGGCACACTAAATTCCAACTGTTAGTATTGATACAATGCAAAGGATCCATTTTAAATCATGACATCATCGGAGCATAAAACAATCACTCCGTTACTTGTTGATTTGATAAAGCCAAACAAAGCACAGGCAATGATTTGAATGTATGTATGCTTTTTACAGAAATCCTCTTGGTTGAGGTAGCATGAGAAGGAAAGAAGGCCTGATAAAGAACTCAGAGGAACACCTACATTTACAAAGAGCAGAAGAGCCCTACAAGGAGATTTAGAACAAATTCTCAGTAAGGCAGGAGGGAAACCAGGGAGTGTGGGGCTTGGAAACAAAGTGAAAAGGATGTTTCCAGAAAGAGGGCATAGTCAACAGTGTCAGGGGCTCCTGAGAAAGGTGAGTTCTGAAAAGTGTCCATTGTTTTAAGCCATAAGGACACCGGCAGGAATCTTGACAAAGGAGCTTCTGTGAGGTAATGGCGATGGATGCCGGGCTGAAGTAGGCTGAAGTAGGCTGAAGGGGGCAAGAAACCAAATCCCAGAGGCATAAAGACCTCTGCAAAGAAGTTTGGCTGCAAGAGGGGAGAGAGATGGATTGGTAACTGGAATGCAATGAGAGTTTCAGATTGGGCTTTGTTGTTATCATGTTGAAGGATAGTGGACACATTAACACAATTAAATGTCAATGGTGCCAACTGAGCCAGAGGGAAAGAGAGGATGTCATTGAAGAAATATGATGAACCCCAACAAAGTGAGGTGGGGTGTCATTGAGAGAACAGAGGTAGAAATGAAACCTCAGGGTAGGATAGTAGGGAGATAGGTGAGGATGTAGACAAATTTATTTATACATTGGGTGACAGCTTGACTTTTCCCTTTGATATATAAGGTATGCTTCCCCGTTGGCTCTCAAGGGGCAAGTGCTAGGGAAGGAAGTCTGAACTAAGGGCAGATGGCTTGAGGCAGCTGCTATGAAAAGTGGAAAAGAGCTGGTCAGAACAAGAAGAAAGGTTGGCTTGGTACAACCAAGTAGCCATGAAGGTTGGAGACCACAATTTTGTGGCTTCGGGCTGAGAGGGGGCATACCCTTCTCTAGGATTGCCTAGGAGTCCTTGTGGAGATGGGAGAAGGAGAGATGGGCGCGTTCAGGGCTGGGATTTTCCAGATGGGTGCAGTCAAATGACAACAGAGCAAGGCGGGAAAGTGAGGGCAAAGGTGTATATTTAACAAATAATTCTTGCAGTGAAAGAAGACATAGAGCATATGATCCCTGACCTCAAGAAATTTCATTTCATTTGGCTGTCCAAAAATAACACAAAGAGTAAAGTTAACCACAGGTAAAAACCTGCTTCCAGAAATTAGATCGATAGCTTCTAGGTAGTGGTTACCTTTTTAGGGAGGTGTAGAGCCCAGAAGGGAATACCAAAGGCTTCTGTGGTATCTGTACTATTCAATTTTTTTTGGTTTTGGTTTTGTCTTTTACCTTGGCACTTGTTACAAGGGTTTAACCCATTTGCGAAAATTTGGTGAGACTATATATATGACATGTGCATTTTTATGTGTGTATATATAATAGATAGATAGATACATTATATTTCCATAACCTGTTCAAAGAAATTAGTATAAAATTTACATAAATATGAAACATACTTAATTAGCATATAAATCAATGTCAAGTGAATATTACAGAGAATCAGTGCTATTTGAAGTTCGTAAGAGAGACGAATAACTAGGATTTGCAATGGTTGCAAAAATAATATTACTGAGCGGGGCGCCTGGGTGGCTCAGTCGGTTAGGCGGCTGACTTCGGCTCAGGTCATGATCTCGCAGTCTGTGAGTTCGAGCCCCGCGTCGGGCTCTGTGCTGACAGCTCGGAGCCTGGAGCCTGTTTTGGATTCTGTGTCTCCCTCTCTCTGACCCTCCCCCGTTCATGCTCTGTCTCTCTCTGTCTCAAAAATAAATAAACGTTAAAAAAAAATTAAAAAAAAATATTTCTGAGCGTTTAACTACATGACAGTCCCATTAGAGCCATTCACATACACTAGGTAGTTAATCTTGAGATTAACCTTATAGGTAGGTGCTTATATTATTTTCGTTGTTAGGATGAAGGAATTCAGGCTCAGAGAGTTGATGTGATTTGTCTCATTGTACACAGCTTTTCAATAGTGGAACCGGAATTTAAACCTAAATCTGCCTGATGACCCCTGAGTGCCTGCTGCCCATAGAGTCAGGAGAGAATCCATGAAAGTTTACATTTTGTGAGGAGCAGAGAGTAGAGGAGGAGGAAGTGCAGATTTGAAGGCAACAATGGGTTTGGGGCAGAGAGTTAACTCCACTGGCTAAAGGCAAGGGAGATAAATCATCTTTTTGTTAATCACCTTCAAAATCCTTTTGTGGGCAGTTTCGGGACAGAATTGCCTGAGAAATGTGAAATGTATCTGCCTGTCTGTTAAAACAGTCACAGTAGATGTAAAACCAAAAATAACCTGTTAAATCTGTTCAAAGTAAAAGCTGTTTAAAAAAAAAAAAACAACATACATAGCACTTTAAAATTATCACGAAAATGACTCCCCAGCTGAGAAACGGCATGTGCCTGTTGTTAGCACAAACAATTCGTCAACACACATCGGTTGTTAGGCTGTTCACAAACGCACAGTTCTTTCTTCGAGGCTTGTGTGCTATCTACCTGCAGAACTGAAAATAGAAATTTGCCATTTGAAGAGGAGGAAAAAAATGCCATCGACACGATCTTGGAAACAAGGCACGACTGGCTTCTTCATGTGTACTTCTGACCTCGGCTGCAGCTCTCAGGGACGCCGTGAAGAGTTTAGTGCCATCCTGCAACTAGAGCAATTAGGATTACTGCATTGCTGGATGATAAAGAAATGAGGCAAACGCTGTTCAGTTGTTCCCTCTGTCACACTGGGCTCTTCCTGCAAATCAGCCCTTTAGGGCACCGTCTACTAGAGCTCAGAGTCTCAGGGTTAGAAAGAAACATTGCAGGGGCTTCTGGGAGCATCGACTGCCCAAAGCAGTGTAGAGACTTCCCATTGGCCCACCTCCGGTATAACTCCAACTCACCAGATCTCACATTTGATTTGGATTACACCCCTGCCGAGAACATCAAATCTCAAATGGAGGACCCAGGGGGGCTCAGGGAAAAGGTCACCAGATGCCATCTTAAAGGTCTGCCAGCCTTGGCAGAGACTCGGTGCCACCAGCTTCCAACTGTGCGCCATCTAACAGGCCTCCAACCCTCTGGAGAAGACAGTCCTGAGTGTGCCAAGGCAGTGAATGGGGATCCAATTTCAGTAAATGAAAGCATGTTCTTATTTGGAAGTAATAGTAGATAAGCAACACAACCAGACTTTCCTTTTTTAAAAAGACAACAACAAAATAAAAATATGAAATGGGACTGGGGAGGGGAGTGTAGCTGAAAATCTCACCAAACTCCACGGGGAAGCTGAATTGTGAAGCCTGTGCTAATGTGGCAAATGTTATTGTGATGAAGTGTGAGGGGTTTTTTATTTTTTCTTCTTCGCCTTTTTTTTGTTTTTTTTTTAATGCCAGAGAGCCATACCATGTATTATTATGATAGAAATTAAACCTTCAGAAAGATTTTTAAAGTACTTTAACTCCTAAACCTATGCCCAAATCATTGCTTCATCATTGGAATTCTATGAACTAACATTCTAAATGCTTCCATGAGTCAAGCTGCCATGTATAAATTTACATAAATCCTTCCATGTTATCTTAATCATCCTGAAGAGTGGGTATTTTATCACCATTGTGCAGATGAAAAACTCAATGATCAGAGAGGTTCAGTACATTCCTCAAGGCCACCTTGCAGGTAGAGATCTAGGATTCATTCCCAGGTCTGTGTGGCTCTAAAACACACGCCCCTTCCTCTACATTACTCCTCAATTTTCTACCAACAATATACAAACTGTTTTAAGCAACAGGATTTTTATTCTCTTTTAACAAGTTAATAAAAAGGAACATCTATCAAGGCATCTCGTCCATCTTCCCAGCTAGACTTACGTCCCTCCACAGAACCCTTAAGTGGCTGACGTTCCGCTGTGGTTCGTAAACTTCCCAGGGGCAAGGAATTCATT